TTCATTACATAAAATATAACATATTAAAATTTTAAATAGAATTATTATGTAAAATTTTATGTAATTAATAAATAAATGACATGCAATACTTTTGTCCATGTAGTGTATTTAATATACTTAATATCTTTCTTTATTTCTTTATTTTTTTGTATAACTATTTTTATCTTTAACAATATAAACAACTTTAATTTAACATTAAACCAATATATTTTTTACAAATTTAAATCTTTTGATCAATTTAAGATTCCAATCAAAGTGAATAAAAAGTTAAAAAAAACTGATCAGATCAAATATAGAGTTTTTTTAACATTTTGCATTAAGCCTATAGTGAATTAGCTTAATACTCTATCTCAAAACTTTAGATTATATTTTATACTGTTTCATAATAGAAAATATATTGTATTTATATAAAAAAAGTTAAAACTCATCAATCTTATTTAAAAAAATTAAAATAATATTAGTTTTTTATACAACAATACATTTCAATCCATCAATACAACTTTAATCTAGACACCATGTCTTTTAAATGGCTCCTGATATCTTTTTCTCTTTTTTTGACAATATAGAAAAAAAAAAAAGATATTTTTAACAAATACTAAAAATACTATATAAAGTTGAAAGTGAAAAATCCGAAACAGCAATAAATTTACCTTTGGCACGAATAAAATAAATAAAGCCAAGGCATTTAACATCCTCACACAATCAAAAAACAATAACAGTGTCTTCAAAAAGAATTATAAGTATATCAGAAACAAATCACTTAAACATTAAAAAATCTATTTTCATTTTATTATCAGCATTTTTGTTTTGAATAAGCATTAGTTATTCAGCATTAATAGTGTTAGTCCACTCACGCAGTGCAAAGTTGATACTATTAAATCAATTGCAATAGGCTACAAGTCGAGATATGTTGATTTGTTTTCTCAATAAAATTATGTTTTAAATACAGATTTGATATTAGGCAAATGTGATTTTGTGAAAGTTTGTAAGATGGGGTTTAAAATGAAAGTTGTATAGAAATAATTCAAGAGTATTAATAAATATTGATGAGAATTTTATAAAATTTAAGGTGGATGAGAGATTTTGAAGTTGGATTGAAATTAAAATTTTGAAATTTTTTGTTAATTTCGTCAGGGAAGTGTACATCGAGATTAATTAATTATGTAGGTCCCGGAAAAACCAGTAATAATATAAATAAGGAAATTTCTGTCGACTCATCTATATTATCATTGAGAGAGATCACCCCGTTGACTTGATTCAACAATGTTCGTACGATAACATTTTGCCGTGGTTGATAGAGCAACTGTTTGTTCATTTTGCCTAACGGATTAGGTCAGTAGAAGCTGCTCGATTGGAAATAATAAGTTAAAATATAGTATGGAGTTAGACTAGAATCAACGATTCCTAAAAATTTCAAAGAAACCACAGTAAAATCTTATTGATGAAAATGGTTAGCATTTCGCGAGGAACTAAAAATAAATCTTCCTATATTGAGGATAGAAAAGGGGAAGAACAACAATAAGAATTGATCAGTCAGTATGGTTAATTTAAGAAACAGGCATCTAAATTCTGAACATTGCAATACTCAAAAAAATTCGCGCGATGAAATACCTCTATAATCAGCGTGTCGATGAAAAAGCGGAGTGAAACACGATGATCGCTTTATTTTAAAATTGTCAGTCTCAGTATTTCATGACCGTTAAGGTAAGGCATCAAAGGCATGAGAACAAATAGGTACTGGTTCAATTATATTAGACCCTGGGGTACGAACTTTACAGATTGACAAAAGAATTAATATCTCACGGATCTGTAGATTCCGGGCAGTTGTAACACAATCCATGTCATAGTTCGATTTGTAAGCATAATGAAATGAAGATTCTTTACGAGAGGATTTTCATCGGAAAACCTACAAAGTAGGAATCGTAGTATTTGCCCTAAAACTATGCACATGGTCACACCATTAAACCTTTCATATAGATCTCGTGGAGCCTTACGTATGAGGGGAATGTATGTATGTAAGGATATCATGTTCATATTCGCAAATTCAGTCGGGGTTGGATGTTTTATTTTCCAAACTCTGCCGCACGAAACGTCGACTTCCTTATTCCACTTCTCGGTCATACATAATCTTCGAAAGGGACAATTTAAGCCAGCATTGGAATTTCTCAGAGAATGTCGCACACATACGTTCTCTGACCTTTGTAGAACATGTATGGATTTCCTTCAGACTGGCTTATCTGAAATGACGGGTTGATCGCGATCATTCATTTTTTTTCGTAAAATAAGAAATCTTTATACGTAACTCAATTATATACTTTACCCCAAAGTACGAAATTAATTAAAATGTGGCGTTTCCAAAATTATAAATGAAGAGAACATCTTTTAATAAGAACACAAAAATAGATCTAAAGTTCGTCCATACTTACTCTTATGAAAAGATGGCGATAAGGGACCCCCCTATTAACAAAATTTTAAATTGAAATCATTACCTGATAACCTTAGGTGTGCACGCATGATTTCTGGCGAACATTTCCTTGTGTTTCAAAGTACAAACCTAAATTAGAGATCGAACACAAATACTTATATATTCAAAATGATGGTAAATTGAGAAAAAAAACTCCGTTGAATAGTCCCAGCGGTCGCATATGCATACATACAGTTATGGTTGGATTATATTCTCCGCCACCCTACAAGCATCATGATCAACTCAGCGAAATTTAAATATATGTGTCACGTGATCTACGGAGTGACCTTAGTTCTCTCATTCATTCATTTGATTAATCAAGAAATGAATTCATGAAAGTCGTTGTCACACGTAAACCATTGTTCAAATCCGAAGACGGATGAGAAAAGATGCTTGTCATTCAAACTAAATGTGTCATCTCTCCACACATAAAGCGATGATCAGAATAAAGTCCGAAAAGAAAAGAAAAAAAAGATAAGAAAAAAAGAAATCAAATACATTCAATTCGATGTGCGGCTCAGCGATTTATGACAAAACTTTCTTATAAAGCTGGAAAAGGTACACATTTTTTCGAAAAGAAAAACCACAGCATCAAGTAAGAACTCTGAACGGAATATTTTACAATTTCAACTTAAACGAACAGATTCGACAATGTCTACCGCGGATTTCTCTCTGGATTACTTAGCGGACAGCCTGATGAGTCGTCTTGATCGAAATAAAATATTTCCACCTCGATTGAACGACCCCGAGAACTTGCTGTCCGTTTCTTATAACAGGATGACGCCGCCAACTCGTCCTCCGAATGGTTTCCTCCTTTGCCGTAAGAACGTCCATCACGAAGCTAAGCTTCAAGGTCAATG